GGATGCTGAATTTGGCACGGCGTGACTTCAGAACAGGAAGTCTTGGCGTGCCACATTTCGTGTCCCAAATTCTGTACTGACAGCCAACAATTCAATTCAATTCATCTTTATTTGCATAGCGCTTTTACAATATAGATTGTGTCAAAGCAGCTTCACATAGAAGATTAGTGAATTGAAATAGTCAGTTCAGTTTTTAGAGTTTAACACAGCATTCCTCTTGGTCTTAAAGCCTTTTTCGATCAGTTATTTTCACAATTTATTATGGCATACAAGTCAAATAAGACAAATGAGGGCACGTGTGGGACAAATTCTGGACCCTTATCAGTGAACACGGATAGAACTGGCTAGATATTCCAACAGTACCACCAATATTGACCCTTTAGGTACCAAAAAATAAATAAAAATGGAAAGGTACTCTTGTGACAGCGTTTGTGCCTTGATTTCTGAGAGTGCATAATAGGAAAGCAACCCAGGCATTTTAGTGCTAAAAATGCCATAAAACATTAAAGTGAGCATTTGAATGACATCATTTGCAAACGGGTGAAGAAATTTATCTAACTCTATAAAAAGACAAAATAGTGTTAAATGTTAATTGCCTCATGAGCTCATATATGAAGCTAACCTCATTTGATGAGCATCAAAGAACAAGGTCATGGAAAGACTTTGCCATTTACCACAATTGAGCTTGACACAATTGTATGGCAAACAATAAAGTGTAAAGAAAATGTTCAAATAAAGCCACGCCCATAAGCAGATCTCTTTTATGGGTCTGTGTAGATTGACTTCGTTATGGAAAAAACTACTGGCAATTTGTAATAAATCTTAAAATACTATTTCAGCGGGACCTCACATGAAGACAAGGAAAGTCTGCTTTATACATTCATTCATTTTCCTTTGGCTTCGTTCCTTTATTCATCAGGGGTCGCCACAGTGGAATGAACCGCCAACTATTCCAACATATGTTTTGCACAGCTGATGCCCATCCAGCTGCAACCCAGTACTGGGAAACATCAATTCACACTAGAGCCAATTCAGTCTATTTAATTCACCTGTAGCGCATGTTTTTAGACTGTGGGGGAAAGCGGAGCACCCGGAGGAAACCCACATAAATACAGGGAGAACATGCAAACTCCACACAGAAATGCCAACTGACCCAGTTGGGACTCGAACCAGCGACCTTCTTGCTGTAAGGCGAAAGTGCCAACCACTGAGACACCTTTATGTCACCTTTATACATTCACCTATTTAAAAAATAAAACACTTCAGTCTCATCACTAAGGTGTAAGTTTTCCACCTAAAAATACATAGAGTTTAGTTTCACCCAGATTAGTGGAATCAGGAAAAATGTGGTGTTATGGAAAAAAAAACTTTCAATGGAAAGAAAAGTTTCCATTATTTGCAGCTAGTGCAGCAGTGCATCATGTTTAACTTTGATTCTCACGCAAGCAAGCAATGCTCTCAAACACTGGAAACATCTGCTATAAATGGAGATGATTTGAGAACATTAACACTGCTCTAAACGCGCTTGCAAAGACCATGAAATTACTACAATATACATTCCGTGTAAATTGAGCAGTTTGTACTGGACTGCTACGTGACCATATGGCACATACTTCAGAAAGTCCTTCTAATACGAAAATAAACACATCATTCATGTTGGATTGTTCTGTGATAAGATGAGCAAGAGGCAGGATTTTCAAGAAGAAAAATTGACAGAGGTTTAGAGTTTATACTTCACACGATCTCAAATCGAGATAAAGAGTTTTCAAGAACTGAGTGGCCCAAAAACAACAGCCGGCAAGCCAAAATAAAATAAAACACTGAAACGGCAACATTGTGGGTTCTTTCACTTGGAAAAAAAAGGTTTTATGACAAAAAAAAGGCATTTAATAGGGTAAAAATAACAGATCACAATACTTGCCCAGCTGATTTCAAAAATCTTCTAAATGGTGTGTTGTTTAAATATGCAAATGAGACATTTTAAATGAAATATGAGCTGGTTTGCATACATCTTACAAAAATCTAAACATTTATTTATTTATTTTTTTTACAGTCAACAATTTTAGCAAAGAGACTTTTGAGTATCTACACTCACTGGCCACTTCATTAGGTACTCCTGTCCAACTGCTAGTTATCGCAGATTTCTAATCAGCCAATCACATGGCAGCAACTCAATGAATTTAGGCATGTAAACATGGTTAAGACCATCTGCTGCAGTTCAAACCGAGCATCAGAATAGGGAAGAAAGGTGATTTAAGTGACTTTGAATGTGACTTGGTTGTTGGTGCCGAGTATTTCAGAAACTGCTGATCTACTGGGATTTTCATGCACAACCATCTCTAGGCTTTACAGAGAATGATCTGAAAAAGAGAAAATATCTAGTAAGTGGCAGTTCTGTGGGCACAAATACCTTGTTGATGCTAGAGGTCAGAGGAGAATGGCCTGACTAGTTCCAGCTAACAGAAAGGCAACAGTAACTTTAATGAGCACTCGTTACAACCGAGGTATGCAGAAGAGCAACTCTGACCACACAACAGCTCAAACCTTGAGGCGGATGGGCTACAGCAGCAGAAGACACCGGGTGCCACTCCTGTTAGCTAAGAACAGAAAACTGAGGCTACAATTCCCACAGGCTCACCAAAATTGGACAATAGAAGATTGTAAAAACGTTGCCTGGTCTGATGAATCGCAATTTCTGCTGCGACATTCGGTTGGGTCAGAATTTGGTGTCAACAACATGAAAGCACGGATCCATCCTGCATTGTATCAACGGTTCAAGCTGGTGGTGTGGGGGGAAATTTTATGAATAGATAATGTCACAAAATGTCTGCAGTGTCTTGCATCAAGCATTTTACGGTGGTAGTTTATATTTTTATATTGTTTGTATTTTTTGCATTATTGTACAAAATGCATTATGTCTATGTTTTCCTGAACAAATATATCCAAACGAGATATACTGTATAACCTTCCAAAGAGCACTTCAGAGTGAAAACAATCTTGACCATCATATTAAAGTTTTATCCTCAATCCAAAACAAAGTGCTCAAAACTGGCCACTTCGAAGGGCCCTTCAGAAAGAAGAATTTAGAACAGTGCAACCAAGCTGATGAACACTACAGGCCCTCATGTTAGGGAAGTTTCTTTGGTGTCATGGAAAGACAACGGAGGTCCAGAATTCAATCTTAAGTATAATTCTACCTATAAATGAATGTGTAGTTTTTTATAGCTACTATAGCAATACATATTTATAAAAAATATATGTAAATAAACAAAGTTATAAAGAAAAAAAGATAGATAATAATAAAATACATTTATTATAAATAAATAAAACTTACATAAATAAATAAACTACTAAAATAGGGCACAGCCTGTCATTCTGAGCATGTTGTGTGTCAACCCATGGACAAAAAATGCAACAAAGTAAAGGCACAACATCTTGATCAACTTGAGATGATGCAGAAGTGTTAAAATATTTGTTGTTGTTTTTTTTATCCCAACAACTTTGTCCATTCAAAGTCCAGAGAGTAAACCCAATGGTCTCAGACTCAATTCCTGGAGGGCCACAGCTCTGCGTACTTTAGCTTCAGCCACCTCCAACTCACACCTAATAGTCTAAAGCAGTGGTTCTCAAAGTGGGGGTTGGGACCCCCCGAGGGGTCGCGGGACAATGAAGGGGGGTCGCCAGGTGATTTCCAAAAATCTATTTATTTTTATTAAACCATAAGAATTAACATATTTTATCCATAACTATACTGAAAATAAAAATAGTCGTTTATAGTTACTATATACTATATAGTTACTATAGTAGCTTATAGTTACTAGTTCTATTGGATTGCGACCCCTGGGGTAATTACATTATATTAAAGGCAGCAATAGCGTCAGATGCATTTTGATTTTATTGACCTTATTCTCCGCCGGCGAGTGGGCGCTGCCATTTGACTCTTTTTGGCACGAGACTTCCGGTCTCATTCACTTCCATTCATTTTTAGACATTAAAACTGCTCGTTTCGCTGTTTGATGTTGCAAACTGATATTTCCTTGTTATATTATTCTACTTGGTCTGTATAGTCATGCAAACATTTGTTTATAGAGCAAGTAGTTTGACCGTTTTTTGCCGTTTATTATTTCTTGTCATTTCTCCCATAGGCGACTGAAACGGAAGTTCTAAGACAATCGCGAAAACAGGCGCACTTCCGCATTTTAGAATAAGGTCAATAACATCAGGTTATACTTTCTGGCACATTTAAAGCACTGACAAAAATTTAATTGGTGTGTCTGTGTCATTGCATGCAAGGTTTCTGTATTTATAACCACCTCAGAGGATATTGGGGGTCGCGAGTCACTGGCTTTGTTATTTTGGGGGTCGCGGGCTGAAAAGTTTGGGAACCCCTGGTCTAAAGTAGTCTTAAACACCTTGATTAGTTGGATCAGCTGTGATTAGGGTTGGAACAAAACTGTGCAGAGCTGTGGCCCTTCAGGAATCGGGCCACACGGTCCTGGAGGGCCAGTGTTCTGGAAAGTTTAGCTCCAACCCTAATCAAACACACCTGAATCATCTAATTAAGCTCTTGCTAAATATACAAGAAATTTCCTGGCAGGTGTGTTTTTATCAAGTTAGAGCTAAACTCAGCAGGACACCAGCCTTCCTCGACCGAGTTTGGACACCCCTGGACTAGAGCATAGGAATGTCTGGGTGACTACAAATAAAAACTACAACTACCAGCAGCATGTGAACCACGTGACCATTGTTTTACTATTTTAATTTTCAAACTGAGCTATTATGTATGCATGTTATGGAAACCACGCCTATACATTTAACCTACATTGTTTTTAAAAATAATAATAACAATAACAATAATTAAAAAAAAGAAACACATCTGATTTATTTTCGGGGCTAGCCTACAAACTGACGTCATGCCCAAACGAGCGGACTGATTGGCGGGACAGAGCGGTAAGAGGTAAAAGGTTAACGCGTGGTTTTGGATGATCAAGCGGGCAGCAAAACAGTGAAGTACACTAGCCTTTGCTCCGTTTTTTTCTACAACGAATCAATTTTCAAATAAATAATTTAGATACTCTTCTGTCGCTTTTATCAGGTAAAAAAAATCGCCGTTTAACGGAATTCAGCCGTTCCAGCTGGTGTCGGTTCACCCCCGGACAATTTGCTAAGCTAACTTTTAAGTTTTCGCGGTTTTGCAGTTGCTCGGATTGATATCTAAACGTCACGCACATTATTTGACACAAATCTGTTAATATTTATAGCACTAACCGGTTAAATCAGTTGAGCGTGTAATGGCTGAAAGACCCGAGGACCTCAATCTCCCCAATGCTGTCATCACAAGGATTATAAAGGAGGCAGTAAGTGTCATCAAAGCTAGCGCTGTTAGCCATTTGAACGAACACACAAACAAACAATGCAAATACATCTTTAGCATGAAACGCCACTTAAGTTCTGTAGAGAGTTTAATCAACTTGTAATCCTCTTGTTTAGCTACCAGAAGGAGTAAATGTGTCCAAGGAGGCAAGACGGGCGATATCTCAAGCAGCAAGTGTTTTCGTACTCTACGCCACATCTTGGTAAGTCTTGAGAGATTTTGTTTCTGTCTGTATTAAGCACTCCTGAAGTGTGTTCCCTAAAAGTGATTACAGTTCCAATTAATGGAAATTGTAATCATAGGCTAACAATGCATTTGGGAAACCAACAGCAGTGTTAAAATAGTTGCTAACTCTGGTGGAGACAACATCAAAGCTGAGAGGGCCCTATTTAGGTGAAATTTAACAACTGATGTGCTCAGGTATTTGCGAGCTAATGGGTCTTATATTTTAAGGGTTTGTGCAAGTCTTAAGAAATGTTCTTTTTGAAAAACTTCACTGTAGCCAATTGCAATCTGTTCTGTTTTGTTAACACCAGTGCAAACAGTTTTGCTATGAAAGCCAAGAGGAAGACACTTAACGCTGGAGATGTGATGTCCGCTATGGAGGAGATGGAGTTTGAGCGTTTCTTGCAGCCACTGCGGGAGGCACTTGAAGGTATTTTATGCTAAACAGAGCCTTTCAGATGTAGAGATGTCAACTTATTAATGCATTCATCATGTATGGGTTTATTAGTAATTTCACCCCAACGTGAAAATTCTGTTCTCTTTTTCTCTAATGTATTTTTGAGTTATGTATTTCTGGCCATCCATTAAAGTCTGTTAAAACTAGGCATGGGACAATAACCAGTTTCCAGGTTTACCATGGTTTGGAAAAGTCAAGATATTAAAACCATAAAAAATGTTTTGTACCGTTTCTAAGGTACTTGTAGAGGGTTTTTAAGTGTTGTAAGGAAATCTGTTTTTGAAGCAAATGAAGATAGAAGTCAATAATGTATCTAGCCTGACATGTTTACTGTTTCAAACTATTATAAATGTTTTTTTCAAATGTAATGTATTGTGTTAAATGGGGAAAAGTTGTTTTGTCACCAAGACATTACAAATATTTATATTTTACAGCAGTGTAAACAGTACCGTGAAACCATATTTTTTATCCAAGGTCATCATACTGTCAGAAACTTATACTGAGTCATGCCTAGTTAGAACAGAAAACTATCATGCCTATTCAAGGGCAACTTTTCCATTACAGGAAAATATGAAGAGGTTAAGGTCAAGATTGTGTTTTTATGGGGGAAAGATATCATATTGGTGTGAATATCACATTTAATGACTTAATTCACAAAAAAATGTAATGTAGGCTATCGCCAGAAGCATTGGATTATACTGAGTGAACTCATTTTTGATCATTTTATAAACATTTGTAAGTGTCCAGAGTTTGGTTAAAACAACTTACAAGGTATCGAAAACATCTTGACATTTGAACACATCTTCATTTGTGTTCTGCAAAGATAATCTCTTCTAGGTTTTGAATGATTTAAATGGCAAAGGATGAACTTACCCTCAAATGCATATAACCATTTTGGTGCTAATTTTGTTTATTTAACAGCTTATAAGAAAGGTCAGAAAGGCAAGAAGGAGGCATCGGAGCAAAAACGCAAGGACAAGGAGAAGAAAAATGGCACAGATGAGAATGACAAGAGTAGGGATGAAGAGGAAGATGAGCACATGGATGATGAACAGGATGGGGAAAATGAAGCAGAGGAAGAGGATGTGGAGAACTGAAAGAGACCTTACTTTTTTAGTCTGGGTTCCACTTTTATAGTGTGGACAGGGACAAGCCTATGGTACCGTTTTACCTTATGCAACTGAATATCTGAGGCTGTATTACAGTGAGCTGTTGTGCAAGGCAAACTGGACATTAATTCAGTTAGATCAGAATTCATGGACAGATTATTGTAAGTAATTTAACATACTGTCACTTGGGTCAAGAAACTACACGTTGTTTAAAGATTTGAGGTAGGAAGTGAACAGTGAGCAGCTTAAAGTACCTGGGAAGCATTTTTGTAAGAATTTCATTTAATGTAAAATCTTTATACCGTGGTGTTTCTATTGATTTTATGATTGGGCTCTACAACCCAAATGTTAGATACTTTTGTACTTATCTTTGTACCACTCAAAAATATTTGAGTACTTAACCCCCCAATTAAAGTTTGTTGTGTTAACTGTGTGACTAATTTATATTCCACCCTGCACACACTCTTGAAATATAGAACTCATTAAATGTTGCAAATATCTGAAAGATTTTAGCACATCAGTTGGTTAACATCACCTTATAATGACCCTCTCAGCTTTAATTTTTCCAACTATTTTAACAGTGATGTTTGTTTTTCAAAATCATTGTTAGCTTATTACAATTTACACTGATTGGCACTGTAGTCACTTTTGGGAATTGCACCTCAGGAGTGTTAAGTACAAATTCTAGTCAGGGTTTTACACAAGGAAGCCTTTAGGGATATTGTCTAATGCTGCATCCTAATTTGCATACCATCTGTCCTAAATAGTATTTGAAAATAGAATTTGTATTTTTCAAATTATACTATGTTAAAAAGAGTATGCCAAGGATTCCTGATTGTTGTACTTTTTCCAGTGTAGAACAGTCCATACTCCACCAATATTGCCCACGTTACATTGTGCTTGAATTCAATTATAACTACAAACCCAGGGTATGGGTAAATAAACTACAAACATGATGGACATGCAAGACCAGCTGTCAAGTAGAGAGGCTGGTTAAAGATTTTGTATGACTTAATATTTTCTAGTGGGCTAGATATTATTTAAATAACATGTGTTATACTTATCTGCAACTACTGAACCTCTATAAAAGACGCTTGAACCATAACATCTGAATGTTGAAGTTATCCAAAGACCTGAGATTTCTCTGCATGTAAGACTCGTGAATGGCAAATTCTCACTTCTGCTTCTCAAATAAGGTAGGAAATTAAATATGAAAGTGGGGGCTCATAACTAAAGCAACACAATGACTTTACAAAATAGTATGTCCTAAAGCTTGCATACCTTTTAATACTCAATTTTTCCTTCACACACACAAAAAAAAACACACTTTTAGGGCATAATACACTAAATATGACTAAATATTTATGCTGTGTCCTATGTATAAAGATCCTGGGTCTTGTGACTAAACATTAAGTTAATTTTGTAATATTTCTCTACTCAAAGCTCTATTAAACTCATTTCGTAGTTGCATACAATTCTGATTCTACTTTAATACTAAACCTTTTCCTTTTAAAAGTATCCTCTCACCACAAGGCCCAGATCCCAGCTCTACAATACATTGAGGATTATAGAAGGTCACAAACCACAGAAGTCAAACTTTATGCTTATGAAAAATTTATTTTGGTCTTCAATCCTCCATTTTACTCCTGTAATAAAAAGAAAGTCTCATTAAAGCCAGCAAGTGAAATAACCATTGCAAAGCAGGATTAGTGGCACAATACTTACAGTTGGGCACTCAACTGCACCGCTGTTGATGTCATCAATGACATCATGGGGAAGGCGACCATCAATGGTGCAGCCCACAGACTGAGCTGTGCCAAGAATCTCCTTAATGGTACCTGAGCGGCAGAGGAAAAGATTCATTTGTTTACAGACCAAATCAACAGCACTCAAGCATGCAAGATTATATGCCATGTTCCAGGCCTTTTGGCACAGGGCTAGTCACTGAATTGACCAGTCCTGCTTCCTAGAGCTGGGTCACTCTGAGCTTCCTCTGGACAGTACACGGTCACTCTTACAGACAAGCACAGTGGCGGGAGGCTCATGGAGACATTCATGTGTAGATGCACATGGACAGTACAAGTACATACCTGAAAGTTCCCTGGCAATTGATCTGTGCCTCATGACGCGGGCAATGTTGACGATCTCATCAAAAGCAACACTTCCAGAGTGCTTGACTATAGAAGGAAAGAGAAACATGATAAATGTCAGGAGAAATACTAAATTTGCTCATGTCAAACAGATACTATGCACAGCACTGTTCAAAGTTTTGATGGTGGGTAAGATTTAATGCAATTAATTTAAAGCAGGCACACATTGTTTATCAAAAAGCTGGAAAGTCATGTGAGATGAATTGTCAAGTCATTTTTAAAATGCTGTTTTTGTGCTCTAGACCTACTAATAACAGTTGTGTTGGTTAATGATGGGGTAAAAACATCTTCGCTTCAGGATTAATGTAAATATTTTAGCAGCAACACTTAATTAAATAAGTTATTGACCACAAACTTGTATCCATAATGTTTTTACTGGCAAATATTTCCATTTTTCATATCCTTTAACATGAATATCGTGCCTTGTATGCGTGCACTATATTCTACCATACAATAAAGCTCTGATTTGCACAAGTAAACATGTCCCAGACCTTTCGGCACAGAGTTACCCATTAAACTGGGCAGTTCTGCTTCCTAGAGCTGGGTCACTCTGAGCCTCCTCTGGACAGTACACAGTCACTCTTACAGACAAGCACAGTGGCGGGAGGCTCACGGTCCATAGCCACAAAAGGTCACAACACACAAAAGATGCCATTCCTACAATAGTGCATTGAGGTGGGGTAAAAAGCCACTTACTGTTCTTGACCTTCTTCCTGTCACGGGGAGGTTCCTTCAGAGCCTTGATAATGAGGGCAGAGGCTGATGGCACTACCTCAATCTGGAACAACAACAAAACTTGTAAGCATCTAAAGGCTACATGACCGCAAGAGCCACTATACGGGCTGAAAGACTTTAAGCGCTTACCGCTGCTTGTCTGTTCTGGATGGTCAGCTTCACAGTGATTCTCAGGCCCTTCCAGTCACCGGTGGCCTTTGCGATGTCATCACCCACCTTTTTAGGGGACTGATGGAAAGAGAGAATGGAAAATTAGCATGCAGCATTTAATGGAGTCAATGTTCTTTGATGTAAAGTAGTTTGTTCCAGGTCTTTCGGCACAGAGCTGCCCATCAGTTTGGGCCGCCCTGCTTCCTAGAGCTGGGTCACTCTGAGCCTCCACTGGATTGTACAGAGTCACTTTAAAAGACTAGCACAGTGGCGGGAGGCTGATATAGGAGCACAGGTTTGTGACAGACAAATAAATATGCACTTTTAGGTATTGGTGGCGAGCACCTAATAAGCAATACTGAATAAATCAAAAACAGTCTTTATGACTGAACAATTAAATTACGAAATAATTTGATAATATTCATTCAACATCAGCAATTTTTCCATCCAAAGATGCAAATTAAACTTGCGCACATATACAAAATATTGCATAAGACATGTAAATAAAGCAGCGTTTCCAGCCAAGTCAAAGAGAACAAAATCATCATTTGCTGATTAAGTAGGAGAAGCTACGTGAATATCTTTGTTTAATAAGTGATTAATGCCTCAGAAGGCAGTATGCCAACACACTATAAACATGTGATGGCATTTGAAGCGTCAGACACAGAGCACAGCCACTTGACAATTCTGGAGGCAATTAATATAATAACATTAATACTGGCCTTTTAGAATGACCAAAACAACATTTCAGATGTTTTACAATGTGCCCAGCCGGCTGGTTTGCCCATTCACACACATTATCACCACATGATCTTATAGCAAACATGACTTTTTAATGCACATACTGGAATTTGTTCAGTAAAAATGTTTACATTGTAATTTATGCGCATCTTACCGAATAAAAGGTTTGTTTGTTTTTTAAATGTGCATTTCGGCACTTCAAATAAACTTTAAATGTGCATATCCAAAGTGTGCATAAAAACAATTGGATGGAAACACCATAATGTGTAGCTAATGTTCGGCTTTGACAATGGAAAAAATTTCTTAGAATTGGAAGAGTAAAATAAAATTTGTAATATAATCTTGTTTGATAAATGGTTGTCTAAACATGTGTAGTGGCTCTGACACTGATAGTTGGTTAAAAATACAAAAGTCTTTTTATTTTAGTAATTATTAAATTTAACTAATTATATAGTTACAGAGTCCTCAGACTATTTTGAGGCATGTAAACAAAAACAACGGTCCCAACGCATTTCCTGTTTTACATTTTTAATTTTCAGAGCTTCTGAGGATCCAAAAAGAGCCACATATTGATAATGGTATGATAGAGGATTAAGTTAAAATTGATTCGCTTTTTTACAATTATGAAAAAGCATGATAACAAGCAGGAAATGTTTATGGGCCAATGACATGACCACACTGAAATGACCTATACATGCATTTTGTGGCTCAAAAGACTTGGATTAAAGCCCGTCATATTACAATATCACATCAGATAAATCACACAGCTCTCTGAATATCTGAAAGCAAATCTATATCAGATTGGACTATTATGGCAATACTTACAAGACCCAAAGGTCCAATTTTGGGGGCCAGCGAGGAAGTGGCACCGACCTCTCCACCAGTGCATCTCATGAACACTAAAAAGAAAAAAACTAAATTAAGAAATGTAGAGAGACAACTAGCCTCATTAACAACTAAACTCACAATGTTCTTAAGATTGTGTTGACTGCTGTGTGACATTAGCGAAGAGAGAACTTAAACTATTTAGCATTGTGTATCATTTACAGCAACTGAAAACAGCACAGCATCTTACAAAGGTCAGTTAAAAAAATGCAAGCCATAATAATTATGCTACAACCGAAAAGAAAATGGGCAAACTGGCCTATAGAGAGACAAAGTATGGCATTATAAATATACTATTGTTTGCAGAAATTGCCCCCCCCCCCCCCCCCAAAGTTGTTAAAAGAACACTAGCTGGAGTTCTACATTGTACTTAGTCACCAAAGCTATAATTTAAGTAACGGGCAACTTCGATTGTCCATTTGATCAAGACAAGTCAATAAAATTCACCTGGTTACTTTCAGCTTAAAGGCGAATAATGTACATTAAATAATAGCGCTAACTTTTTAATGGTATATTTTATATGCATTTTTGAATAAACGCTAATGTTGATCTTTATAAAATGATAAACTTTATATGCAGCAGTTGTACTGCAATTTCTATTATTTGTAACTTACTATTGCACGTTTAAAATAAAAGGCACGTTAAAACTACATAACGTATTTGACAATTCTACAGACTATTCTGCACTATTAAGCTAAAGACACGAGCTCCATGATGATCACGTGTGCAGCAAACTGCTGAACTAGAGAGCACATTAATCACGTTTCAAAGCTTACGATGAATCGTTAAAATAAGCCGCAGCTGGCACTTCTAAAGACACATAACATTCAATCCGATTAGACATTAAGTTTAAAATTGTTCGGTTAGATAAAGCTCAGTAGTTTTACCCATTCATCGTTTATTATAGTCCCGGCGCTCTGGAGCCCAGAGCACAAACATGGCCGCTTGGTCACGCTCAAAAACCCGTCGAAACGTTACAGTATTCCTCACACATACCAACTTTAATCTCGTTGGGGTCGAATTTAGGAGGCATGGTGTATCAGATGAAGTTGAGTTCACTTCAATTGGAATTGGTGAGGGTGTCGGATGAACCCGGATTCGGGACGACCGAAAACTGTTGCACCTTCACCACAAAAGTGAAAAAGGAAAAGGCCGATGAGAGCGCAAGCTGAGAATATAAAGGCGACGAAGTATCGCGAGAACTTGGCAACCTTTCACACTGCGGCGACGCATTACGTCATTCACAACATCCGAGAAGTTGTTCCTGGTGTTTGTGGTGTACTGTCCGAGAGGGAGTATGCTAGGTATCACAGGACAGTAAATTGATTAAGAAACATCTCAAAGAACCTATGTTTTCATAACATATATCAGCTATAGGACTAACGGTTATTTGCGAATATCCATCATTCAGCAGGTAACGTTACGTCCACTTGTTTATAAAGGTAATGTTGCGCAATTGTCGTAGCCAGTCTTTAGACTGATGAAAGCGGGACATTTGTGAAGGGTTATGGATATTGAATAATTATTATTTGTCAGTTTACGCGTTTGTTTTTGTGTTTTTTTGTCCTACTTCTATTAGTTCAGGGCGTTCTTGGAGATTGTCAACATCACATTCAGTCAGGTTTCACACTGAACCGTCCAGTGGATGTTGTGGGGTTTTAACTAGACAAATAAAATCTCGCTAAGCCTCAGGATGTTTTTGTTCAAAAAGAAAAAACCCAGTGGCGATTCCAGGAAACGTCTCGAGTACCAGCTGTGTTTGGTGAGTGTCTGTTGCATTGCAACGCACCCACATTTGTTACTGATAGAGATTATAAGTGTGAGCAGAGCCTCTTTTTATAGCAACGTCCACAGTGCAGATCCTAAAACACATGCCTATGTTTTGTGCAGGCCAAAGAAGCAGGTGCTGATGACATTCTGGACATTTCTGCCTGTGAGCTTTCAGAGGTACACTTCAGACACCTTAGTGACAATCCCTATTTTCATTGTGGACAAATGATGAAATATCTGCTTCTTCAGGTTCCCTCCTGTGCCTTCTCTATGTGTAAAGTGCTTCAGAAGAAAGTGAGTCTGTATATTTCTTTCTCTGAACTGTTGGTGGTCGGAGCGAATACAATTTTGAAAGCAGTTTTTTCTTTAACTGTAGGTGTTAATTCTTCATACAAATGACCTGAGGTCACTCGTACCTAAAGGCTGCTGTCTTGGTGCCTTAGCAACATTAAAGGTGAGAGAAACTGACTGATGTCACCAATGAAAAATAAATAACTGTCTCGCTATATTGTCTAGTTATAACATCTCTTTGTTCATTCTAAAGGTCTTGGATCTACATGAAAATAAGCTCACATCACTTCCAGATGAGATCGGACAGCTTTCGTCCTTGCAGGTATATCTATTTTATTAGATCAAAGTTCTGAATTGTACTATCTAAAAACAGAATAATATGCTAATAGAATAATATATATATATATATATATATATATATATATATATATATATATATATATATATATATATATATATATATATATATATATATATATATTATAGATAAGTTAACAGCAGTTTTTTACTGTGCACCAACTCACCATATCTGGATGATTTCTGAAAAATTGGGATACAACATAATTTTTTTAAATTATCAAAAGAAAATTAAAAAAATACATATTTTATTAATACTTTTATTGCATTAATTGAATGCAGCCTTGGTAAGCAGAAGATTTATTTGTTCATAAATATTACAATGTTATCAACCTCATTGTTGATAATCCAATAATATCAACTGAATTGCTGTGTATGTTTTGTAATAACTAGAGTACTTTATATTTGTTGCTTTCATAAAACATGTTTTTTTCTCTAAGGTGCTAAATGCAGAGAAAAACCAGATCAAACAGCTGCCAGACACTATAGGAGGTCTTCTGCATCTACAGACACTTAATGTAAAAGGTTTGTTTTTAAAAATATCTATTTTTGTTCATATAATATTCATTTTTTAATTGTTTTCATCACTTTGTCTTCCTGGAATATATTCCATTTAGTTGTTAAACATTTTTCATGTTAACTTAATTTCTGTGTGCTTAACCCTGGATTATTCTTGTTCAAAACATTGTTATCAGTGGGTTAATAAATGTTGCCTACAGGAAACTGAGAAGAGGGGTTAGTACTGCTTTTTACCCTGAACTATAAACCCTGCATTGTGATACTAAACATTAAAACCATGCAAGTAGTGATACATTGTTATTGTTAGTTGCTTAAAAAACTAGCATTTGGGGAAAAAACTAAAATACTAAGAGAAAATGCAACATTTAGAGTTTAGTTTTTACCTTTTATAAACTGTATGCCATCAAATGTGCTAATGCCTTTATGTAAACTGCTGATGTGCTGCTTTGATACAATCAATGATGCTTTTTTAGAATGACTCGGGCTTGCCGGTTTCAAGTTTGAAAAGTCTTTCAGAACATTGAAAATGTGACCGTCATATGACTTTTGTCTTAATTTACTTTAGATTTTAGGCACAATTTTAAAAAATGAAGTGGAAATAAAAAAGATTAAACGAATGACTAAAATGTTTTGACGCATACAGGGAACTGCCTTACTGTGTTGCCTGTGTCTGTGGGTCGCATGAGCAGCCTGCGAACACTCGACATAAGTGAGAACAGCATCAGAGAATTACCCAAAGAACTGGCCAGTGTTCGCACTCTGGAAGTGAGTACCTTATATGTCCATTTCAGTAAATGAAAACATGACACATATTTGTGCAATATCACATCAAGCTCATAAACTCTGTGTCCACTCATATCTGGGATCTCATTCTCATATTTGTATATGTGTGGTTTCAGAGCCTGATCCTGGATGCACAGGTTATGAGCTTTCCACCTGCGTCAGTGTGTACAGGCGGCACAGAGGAAGTGCAGCGCTACCTCTGCTCAGGTACACATCTGTTTTCACAGACTCTGCAACAAAGCAACTTTATTTTACAGACCAGTTTGCAGCAGTGGTTCCCATCCAGGAGCCCCCAAAACAGTGGGGAGATATGAGTTGAAATTGCTGGGAACCACTGTATTTTATTATCTATTCATTACTGTCTGTCTAGATTCAGACCAATGAATTCAGAGTGCATGCTATACAGATTATGCAGATTTGGTTGCAATCCCATATGGCAGCCATACTGTGCATTATCTGTATTTGAGCATTTATTTTTGATGTTGTCCAGAGATGGGTCTGGAGTATTGTCCTCCATCTCAGTATCTCCTGCCTGTGCTGGAGCATGATGGAGGGAAGCAGGAGATGGACTGTGTTGATGGTGAGGAGATAGTCTGGCAGGTCAGTCTAAATCTCATTATTGTTAAACAGTGCTCACATTTCTTTCTGTGCCATTGTTCTATCAATGCCATACATTTGTGATGTTATCTTGTATTCTCTCTCTTACTGTAGAACAAATTTATGGACTATGAGAAAAGAAAGGTATGTTTAATTTAGTTTTGTGTTGGATTGTCTAGTGAAGCGGTGTTTACATCTTATTTTCTCTGCTTCTCCACTAGGAGCAGAAACAATTGGAAAAGCTGATCTTTGAGAAAGATCTTGAAGAGAAACAGAGAGAGCATGCTAAACTCCTAGTCCTCAACAGCTCTCTTAAAGAGGACGTCCTGCTGTCTGTCAAACTGGTAACCATTTCAAGTTACTTTTTTTTTTACATAAAACATAAGCTTAAAATGCAATTCTCTTCAAAGTTTTTGCAGTGTTAATACTTTTAAATAGTTACTTAGTTTGTAAGTAAGTGTAAAACTAGATTTTTTTTAATACTCTAAAATGACGATTGTGATCTAAAACTGAAATTTCAAGATACACTTGGCCAAAGAAACTAAACAAAAATGACATGTTTTACAACTGCTTTCATGAAAATTATTATTACATTATTATAATTATAATATTCATTCATTCATTCATTTTCTTTTCAGCGTAGTCCCTTTATTAATCAGGGCTCACCTCAGCGGAATGAACCACCTATAATTATAATATATACTTTAATATAAATGAATACTACATTAATAATACATTAATAATCAGACTTTGACAATTTTTTCGATTATCACAAGAAATTGGAAAGAAAATGTTTTAGCACAAACTTAAAATTCTACATTTAATTCTTTTCTGCAGAATCAAATTTAACTTGACAGTGTATTTAAAGTCAAACACACACACACACACAAAATATTTTAATATCACAGGGGTTTTTAATTACATTCATGCAGTTCCTTAATCAAATACACCTGATTCATTGCATCTATGCAGAGAGCTGAAGACCTGAAAGATCAAGACATGAAATGGTGTATCAGACAAAGGAGACATTCACAAAATGTGTAGTTTTTCTGGTTTTCTAAAAACATAATTGAAAACCACTGATTTAAAACATTGCTTTATGGCTTCGCTTAAGTGTATTAGACAAAAAACGTGTTAAAAGAGTTAATACTGATGCGGAGCGGGGGTGCCATGGTTAGGAAGCATTCACATTTGTGGTGAATAGGTAATGCTGACATAATGGCTAAAGCAAGAGTGAAATCTCAGTGCTAGAGAGGGGCAAAGTGGGATAAATGCTGGATTTAGGCCATAAACAGTAATGTCATTTTCATGGCTGCATATTCGATGCATGGCTTGCTGTAATGTTTTACATTCACCGGCTACTTTATTACGTGCAGGTTTGGAAGGTAATTTGATTAATTTTGACATACCTTGGTAGTAGTTACAGTGCTCAGCATATATGAGTACACCCCTCACGAATCTCTCATTTAAATTCATATTTCCTATAGGATGCTTTACAATATTATATTTGTGCATAAACATTACATTAGTCATTACTGAAGCCAAATCTGGAGCTTATCTAACAAAATAACTCACAATAATGGTTAAAAAATTAATAGCCCAAATTTATATGTTAGGGGAAAATGTTAATTAAAATTTTCCAAAAATGGAAAAAAATACATACAATTTTGGTGAAATGTTGTAGTTTGTAATTTTTTGTAATATTTTGCATGAATTTTAATGTATTATCTTTCTAAAGATGTTCTGGGAATAAAATATTTTAGTTCAATAAATATATCTGTTTAATAAATCTGTTTTGTTCAAATGCATCAATATATATTACCCATTTTCACTTATAAATGGATAAAAATATTCATTTTTAAAATGGGGTGTACTCATTTATGGTGAGCACTGTATATACCTTGTTTAATAATTGCCATGTTTGTTACTATTAAAATTGTTACTATTGGGGCTGCTTAATATTGGTATAAATTGACACTTTTATTTTCATTCAATATATATTGCGATACTGAATCTATAATTTTACCAGATGAAATGAAAGGGTCTATTTGGAAAGAATACATTATTTTCAATACATTGGGATGATATTGTAAGAGTGTACATCTACATAAAATATAATAAATAAATCACAAACATTGAGAAATACAGTAGAGAAACAATACTGTACAAATAAAATGTACAGTGCCTTTTGATTTTCTGGAAGTCAAACAATATTCAGATACACAAATTTAATAATAAAATGTAAAATAACACTGTAAAGTCTTTATTGTGTATATAAACAAGAATTCAATTATTTCTTAAATTTAGAAATGTAATTTCTTATGCCTGAATATTTAAAACTTACCTTAATGATAAAAACACACACGAGTCATACATGTTTTGGTAACTTTATGGTTAAATGTTGCAATGATTCAACAAACCATGAGAGTTTTCAAATGTGGCTCCTGATTAAAAATAATACTTGTTTGACATTACAGTACTTGCTGTCTGACTATTGCGAATGGGCATATTGCAATATTGATGCTAAAAGGATATTGTGCAGCCCAAGTTACTATTGTATTTTTACAACTCAGAACAGTCTGGCCCTTCTCCTATGATTTTTGATATCATCAAGACATTTTAAGCTACAGAAAACAGTTTATAATTTTCTGCCTCTGAGAATGCTCTAATAATCCCAGATTGTGCATGAAAAAAACAGTAGAGCAGCAGTTTCTAAAATACTCAGATCAGTCCGTCTGAGAACAGCAACTGTTCCTTATTCAGCTTGACATTCAGATTCAGATCCTTTTTTTTTTCACATTTTGATGATTGCCTCAGCAGATTGTCATGACCACGTCTACATGCCTAAATGCATGAGTTGTGTTTAATTGCAGCTTTATGTTTGGCTGATTAGATATTTCTGTTAACCAGGAGCTTAATAATGTTGCTGACGGATCACTGAGATGTAAAAGTGTTATTACGATGTGAAATTAATATATTTATATTTTATTTTTATATATATTTTGTACTTAGATTTTTTTATACATTTTTAAAGAACATAACCAGTGGGAACAAAACAAACAAATAAAAAATAATAGTACATATACACATACATTCGTACACATACATATATATATATAGGCAAATACATCCATTCCACTCATGTATATCTATATACATACTATTTTTATATTTTAGTAAAAAGTCTTCAGTGTCACATGATCTTTCAGAAATCATTCCAATATGCCGATTTGGACTCATTGTAACATTTGCTCATGTAACATTATAAATTGTGCTGCTCAAGTTTTTGGAAAATAAATAGCGCTTTTTAAATACCTTTACCATGACTGTATTTAAAGGAAGACTTGTCTTTGTGGTTTTCTGTCTCTCAGGAGCAGGAGCGGTTAGAGTTAGGTGTATCTCAGCAGCAAAAGGCCCAGGAAGCAGAGAGGCTGAAAGTGCTGGATAAAGTCCGCCAGGCAGAGAGCGCTGTCATGAGTCGCATCTCTGATCTTCTGCTTGATAACAAACGGTGAGGGCACAGTGGGAAACCTTTCTGAAATCTCTTGCATTTTTGTACATATCCATATCCAAATCCATTAGTATTTTGTAGATGAAGGGTAGTTATGTATTGTGTGTTTGTGCTCATCTTATTACAGCCAGGAAAAAAGCGCTGCATTTTTGCAAGCCCTGGAGAAGGACCGGTAAGTGGAAATTACACATGGGTCGAACTCTAATGGAATATGGGCTCCTGCCATCAGTGCAGCTCTTGCTAAGTGAATTTCTCTCTGTCTAATGGTGCCGTGCCACTTAAGATGTCCAGTTACAGCATGAGCTGTGATGCTGCTATAGTATGTAGTTCAGCATTTATGTTTGTATTTAAGTATTTTTGGACATGTTAGAGAGATCTAACATATTATATTTAGTTGTGGTTTCACAAACACTTTGTTAATTTGTTATCAGAATCTGTCTTTTGTTAGATATAAACTACCATTATCAATTTTAGATTACAGTTAGTTTAGTGTTCAATATATTTTTTTTTAATCAAAGCTCCATTTTGTAAAAATCAAAAGATACTTTAAAAACAGTAATGTTGCGAAGAATCATTAGAAATTAAATTTCACTGTTTTCTATTTTGTTTCAATTAATTTTTTATCAGATTATGCTTTAGTCTTTAAATTCACATAATCTTTCAGATATCATTTGACAATTTTTTTTTTCATTTCTTCTTATTTTCGATGTTTAAAAAAGTTGGATTGTGTGATAGTTTGTGTAAATTGTGATTTAGGTTCTTCAGGATTCAGAAAGTTTAAAAGAACTTATTTCATTTTAAATATTTACAGTGCCTATAGAAAATCATCAAACCCTGTTAAAATCTATACCTTTACTCACATTACACCCTGCTTTTAAAAAACAAAATTAGGTTAGGGAAAGTTATTTGGAATGTGGTTTGATTTCAGGCTTTATGACAAACAAATAAAGTAATTATTTCAAAGGGGTATGATGATTTTCTATAGGCACTATATTTTTGTATAAAGATAAATGTCACTTTTAGTCTTTGTAATGAACGTTAATAAAACTAATGATTAATAATTTATTTTATCAAATAATATAAAATATTACTAACCCTAAACTTTTGTATGGTGGACAGAAGATAAACGCACAGAAAATTTTCAATCAGAAATTCAACTTTATTTATATGGTGCTTTTCACTATAATTATTGTTCCAAAACAGCTTTACAAAATGTGTGAATTATTAAATTACAGTCAAATTAAAAAAATTTAAGGTGTGAACAGTTGTCAAGCTTATACATAGTTAATCTACAGTAATACACTATAATATGCTTTTCAAAAATTTGACATTACAGCATTTGTACAATATATTTTCACTGAGGTTATCTCATCATAACAACATGATTTATGTATTTATCCAGAGTTTTTCATCCAGAGTTTATTTTTGTTCCTTCTATTATTATTAAGATATAAAGTTATGTATGTGTTTTTGTTTTCAGCATACGAATGGAACACCTTACTACCATCACACAGGAAGAAGCCAACTCTCTTAGGAAAAAGGAAGTGGCAGGTGAGTTTTCGAAGTTACATTTATTGTTTAAATGGCTTCATGGTTTCAAAATGATTGTTTATTAATTTAGTAAGCAAGTCATTAGAACTATATACACTTACTGGCCACTTTATTAGGTACACTTTACTAGTACCGGGTTGGACCTGCCTTCAGAACTGCCTTAATCCTTTGTGGCGTAATTTAACAAGATACTCTAACTATTCCTCAGAGATTTTGGTCCATATTGATATGATAGCATCACGCAGTTGCTGCAGATTTGTCGGCTGCACATCCATGAAGCGAATTTTCTGTTCCACCACATCCCAAAGATTCTCTATTGGATTGAGGTCTGGTGACTGTAGAGGCCATTTGAGTACCGTGACCTTATTGTCATGTTCAAGAAACCAGTCTGACATGATTCACGCTTTATGGCATGGCATGTTATCCTGATGATTGTAGCCATCAGAAGTCATAAAGCGAGGGACATGGTCAGCAACAATACCCAGATTGGCTTTGGCATTTTTACTAATGGGCTCAATTGGTACTAATGGGCTCAAAGTGTGCCAAGAAAATATCCCCCACACCCTTACACCATCACCATCACTTAGTATTTTCTCTTTTTCGGACCATTCTCTGTAAACCTCAGAGATGGTTGTGTGTGAAAATCCTAATTTATCAGCAGTTTCTGAAACACCGTCTGGCACCAACAACTAAGCCACGTTCAATGTCACTTAAATCAAGTTTCTTTCCCATTCTAATGCTTGGTTTGAACTGCAGCAGATCATCTTGACCATGTCTACATGCCTAAATGCATTGAGTTGCTGCCATGTGTTTGGCTGATTAGAAATTTGCTTTAATGAGAAGTAGGACAGGTTTACCTAATAAAGTGGCCGGTGAGTGTATATATTTTTAATACCTGCATCATGTCCTAATGTCACTCTAACTTCCATAATATTATATGTTCCCATCTCTCTACAAAGTGTCTCTAAAAGTATCATATCAATAACATTTGAAAGAACCTCAGGTATTTGCAGTTTCACTGAAGATGACTGTGTTTTTGCAGATGCAATGCAGAGGATGTTGTCCGAGAGCTGCTCTGTACGGTTACTGCAGGAGGCCAGAGAAGCCAAGACAAAGTTTCTAGTGTCCGAAACCTGCAAGAGGTGATTCACTTCCCACCATAGTTCTAAACTCTCTACAGTTTGTTTTTACTTTTTTTGGTTACACCTTCTATCAACATGTGCCCTGTTGATAAAATCACAAATGGTCACTCAGGATGGTTTATTTAGTCTCAAATGAACCTTTTGTGAGCACGTGTGATTGGATTTTGGAGACATTTTGCTGAGCGTGTTTTTTGTTGGTATCTGTTGTAGGTCTATCGTGGATAAATAAATATATTAAAACTGGTTGTCACTAGTGCCTGTTTTAATGAGTGATTGATCGTATTATTTATTTAAATGATTCATGTAAAATGGCTGATTCATTTACAAACATCGCAAAATAGTTATAATTTCTTTGAAAATTAGAGTAATGCAAGAATCAAGCATCACAACAACAATGCTTGTTGTTTATTAATTAATGTCACAATGCTTAATTCACTGACAAGGAGATGGTCTTATATATATTTTTTTTTAATATCCCTTTTCCGTTCTCTCTTTTTTATTCATTTGTTTAGTTTGGACAATATGGATAAGAAGTTTGACCAAGTGTTGTCTCTTCAGCAGCTAGACAAAAGCAAAGCCATTAGTCAGATCCTTCAAGAGGTAACTATTTACTTTGATAACCTACAAGGTATATAATGTATATTTAAAATGAGTTTGCAGTTAATTTGTCTAATATATATAGATATTCCAATGCATTTTTGGACAGGTAGTTCTACAAACTAACATTGACCGGCTGTTTGTGTGCAGGAGGAAATGCAGAAGGCCGCCTTTGAAGCCCTTCAGCTCCAGAAAGACAGCGTGCATGCTTATATCCGTAATCAGGTATGCTCATTAGGTTTTCATTTAGGATCTGTGATCCCACACATACAGGTATTGATATCATACTGCAGTTTATTGGGGTCCAGTGTGCTTTAGATGTGTAGTCAATATTCCATTTAAAAAATCTTTAAGGGATATGTCACCCAAAGATGTTGATTCTGTCATCATTTGTTTACCTTTGTTTTTTCCAAACCTATTGAATTGTCTTTATTGAGGGTTGACAGAGTTCCCCTCGTAAGCCAAATGTCAAATTCCCTGACTTTCACTGGCTAAAAAGCTGAATTTTAATGACATACGAGCACTGAGCAGACAAAATGTAAAACATATCTTGAATTAAGTGTCGTAAAGTCATATATGCTAGGACATGATGCTAAAGCGCAAAGCTGTACTGGAAATTAGATTGAATTTCCTTATTTAATTCAAGGAGTTTTTTTATCTTTTCAATTAGATAATATAACATTAATACAACATTGATTAATACATTAAATAATGGTTTATTTGCACCAATTTTAGACTTGAAGTAAAAAAAAAAAAAAATAAGCTTGCAACCAAATAAGCTATACTTTCAATTTGGTCTGAAACCATTTAGGCCACCTAATATAGGCTGTAATAAACTGTAAAAAATAAATGTAATAGAAAAAAATCTAATGAGGAGTACAATTTTAAATTAATACTAAAAATATGACTTTTAATGTTTGTAATAGACCTTTAAAATACCATGTTATTCCAGAAATTCCAAGACCTGTGGAAACCCTGTGTTGAACACAAAATAAGAGCTTTTAAAGAGTGATTGCATCCAAACAGTTGATAGTAGTCAATGACCTCCAAAGTGTTTTTTTTTTTTTTTTCGTTTCTTTTTTGGTTATCTTTTTTTTTTATGTTCAATTGTGGAAAGAATGTTTGGTAAATTTTCATTTTTGGGTGAACTATCTCTTCAACTTCATCAACACTGGAATGTATTACATATACCCTACCATTTATAAATGAGGGGGTTAATGTTTTTGAAATAAGCCTCATTCACACTAGGGTTGCATTCATTTAATCTAACATACACTCAAAACATTATATTTTGAAGAAATCACTATTATTTTAAGGATACTTTAATAAAAAGAACATCATTTAAAAAAATTTAATGTGTAAATGTACAATTATAAACAATATACTGACAGTTTTGATACATGTAATGTGTTGTTGCTGAAATTCATTATTTCTTTTAAAAACATAAAAAAACAGACATTTAATGAGTTTTCAGTGGTCAGGCAATACCTTTTAAAGAGACAGTTCACCCAAAAATAAATATTTACTCTCAATTTACTCACCTTCAAATGCTTTCAAACCTTTAAGAGTGTTTTTATTTTGTTGAACACAAAAGAACATATTTTTTTAAAAGTTGGAAACCGGTAGCCATTTACTTCCATTGTTTTTCCCACTATGGTAGGCAATGGTTACCGGTTTTCTACATTAATCTTTCAACAGAAAAACAGAGTCTGTGATAAGTAAAGGGTAAATGATGAAAGAGTTTTCTGGGCGAACTATCCCTTTAAGGTATTCTTATGTACTAGTCATTTTAGTCATATATCTTCTTTGGGGGGTTTCAGTCAGCTCATGCTTCTCACATCCCACCTCTCATTGAATTCAGAAGTCAACAGGTGGCTGTTTGCTCATGTTTCCATGGGGCCATTCACACCCCCACTGTATGCTTGTATCCATAGATTAAACTCATAGAGGCAGAGTTAATGCAGCTCACAAAGCTGGAGGTTAAGAGGAGGAATTTGGACACTGAGAACCTGCAGGTACGTAGCAGCGGTAGATGACGATGTGCTGGTTACCTTTCATCATGCTGTGGAGTGTAGAGAAGAGGAATCATGACTGTTTGTTGTCACTCATCACTTTTCTTGTTTGTTTGTTTGAGTTTACTTTCTCTCTCAGCCATTTCATTCCATTCCTGTTTTAGCATCACGCTCATGCCACCACTATGCTTTATCACAGCATTCTGGAAGTCTGGTTTGTTTATATTTGCTATACTAAAAGTGTGTGTGTGTGTGTGTGTGTGTGTGTGTGTGTGTGTAAGGAGGAGCTGTCTGACCAGAGGACGGCTCTGACTGACCTGCTGCAGCAGTTACTCAAACAGAAGGATCAGAGGGAGGAGGAGCTCAGACTGGTCTTGGTGAGTGAAGCCTGGTTTATACTTCTGCGTCAAGTGACCGGCGTGGCCCACGGCGCATGCGATGCGCGTAGCTGTGCATTTATACTTCTGCGCGCTGTCTCTGTTGGTCTGCATTAACACTTCCGAAACGCTAGTTGGCAGTGAGGTGTAAATGTTCCTCTGTGTCGAGTTTCTTCTCTGCTGTTTTGCTTTCCTGAGCACTTCCTGGATGTACAAGTGGCTTAAACTCGCTCATTTTAAGGCAGGAACTGGCGGACGTGCAACAACTTTAACTATGTGGTAAACACAAAACAAAACTTTCCATCAGGAGCTCCTTCACGGGACTCCACACTTGTAAACAATCGCTCCATTGGGGTCGCGTCCAGCTCGCGCCATTCGCACGGCTCACAGTCCCGCCCAGACTCGTCAGCGCTACCAAGCCGACCAATCACAGAGCTTGCGATACGCGTCGTTGCGACGTGTAGTTACAATTTTTGAGAGGTGCACGTCAGCGACGCCGACGGCCACGGCGAAGGGCTATGCGTCAGCGCCGTAGCATACGCCGACGTTTGACGCAGAAGTATAATTCAGCCTTAAGTCTGGACCCACTTCCTACATTTTGAACTGGAAACTGGATCATTTCACAGAACCACTTCACAAATATTTAGCGATGTTCATTTGTTATTGTGTTCCAGTTTTTTATGCATATTTTTATTCTCTTATTATTGACAGGTCCTATATTGTGTTGTTTACTTTATGGTTCAGTATCTATGTGTGACATTTAATATCAGAAAAAAACATGTTATAAGCATTCAAATGATTTTTAATATTTTTACAATAAAATATATTTAATCTATTTAAAATAGTTTGGAACCTTTTATTTCTTTTTGTTGTAGAGCACACTTGGACATTACTTGGACATTTATTTAAATTTCATTTTGATTTTATTCTGTAAACTACTGATGACAATATATATAACTATATATAACAAATTTCATAAAAAGAACATGTTATTTCTTTGCACAGAACAACACACAAGACTCAATATATTAAACATGATTAGATTCATTTCATTAGACAAACTGATATCAATGTTTTTATGTGATATCAGTGCTTTTGGGGCTACAATGTGCACTAAGCACATTTAAGAAAGCTTGAGCCATGAATTTGAATGAAGAAGTGGCTGATGAGATCTGGTAAGAAGCCCTGTGGAGATCTCGAGAATAAAAAAGGTTTGATAAATTCGAGACATAAATGAATCCAATTTAAAGTTTTACATCCTCTTCATTTCTTTAAAACTAGATTAAGTAAAATATTTCCCTCTGTATCTCCTCCTAAATGTGACAGATGTGGTGGGGCAGAAGGGACTCTAAAACATTTAGTTTTGTCCTGTTCTTTATGAGTTTTGGTCCATAAAACAAAATATTATTAAAACAACCCTGTTTTTAATCACATAAGATATAATTAATTTTTCTCAAGGGATAGTTCACCCGAAAATTAAAATTCTCATTTACTCATCCGCCACTTATTTCAGATGTTTGACATTCTTTCTTCTGTTGAACACAAAAGAAGATATTCTGCAGAATGTTTGAAAAACATTGACACTTCCATAGTATTTTTTTTGTTCCTACCATGAGTGTCAATGGCTGCTTTTTCTCTGAACATTCTTCTAAATATCTTGTTTTGTATTCAACTGTATAAAGAAATTTTAGCAGACCTTTATATATTTTTTGATTTTTTTTTCTTTGCGATTCAGATGGAGATTGAGAAGAAGAGTGAATCCAACCAGCAGAACTACTGGATGATCCAGTATCAGAGGCTTCTGGATGCCAAACCACTGTCTCTGCGCATGCAGGTGAGATCCGCTCAGGCCTTGAGATGCTGTGTTTAAATCTTAAAATTACTCACACTGTGCTGTCCTCTTACTTCTCCTCAGGAAGCAGCGGTAGACAGAGATCTAGGGAATCTACTGTGCAAACTCTCAGCTCAGCACTACCTGCCAATCATAGCTCACCACCGCATCACTGCTGAGGCCTTAAGAAGAATGACTGCCAAAGACCTCAGGAAGGTCCGTCGACTTTCCAGGATGTTTCAAAATCATATCTGAGTTTAATGTCTGTTATATTGTACAACAGTGGTACAAAAATAAATTGGGAAATGGATTTTGAGATTTTCAAAAGGCAATTTCTATTCTCTTGAATCGGGTTTAAGGTGTTGTAACAGCAGATGGCGCTGTACGCAAGTTTTTAACTGGATACAAAGAAGGGCACTTGTGCATCGGTCATGTCAGTTGGCTTTAATGGCACGAAATTTAATGTGAACTCGTTTTTTTAACTGTAATTCTTAACTGTAATTCGTTTAAACGTCCTCTATTAATTATTATTTTTGGTTCAAGTGGTATTTGTAAGGAATTTGAACGTAAGTAGTGTACTGCAGTTAATAAAGAAAACAGCGCCATCTGCTGCTAAAACTATGCTCAGAATTGATTCAGGAGAGAATTCTAAATAGGGATTATTTTTGAAGGTTTCAGAATAAATTTCTCAAACTACTGATTGCCACAGCTTTATTATAATCTTCTTTCATAAAATCTCTATCTTTACAGTTGGGGATCAACGAGGTTGGCGTGCAGAAAGCTCTTCTCCACTGGGCCAGAGATCGAACTCTGTCTGATCGTAAGAATCATCTTGAGGACATCATATTTTTTAATAGGTGACATTTGTGAATTCTGTTCGGTGACTGAGAGCATTGTCATCTTTTTCTCTTTAGCTTTGCCGAAAACACTGAAAGAGATGGAGGAAGCTGGTCCATCCGCTCAGAGTGTTCCACTTCCACATCAGCTCACTCCTCCACTGACCCCCAGTGCCCCTCTAACCCCCACGACCCCAAATCCTGACCGCTTCAACTCTGAGTGTGTTGTCTGCATGGAGCTTGAGGTAAGGCCTTTAGCAACACTACAAGGCGCTTATATACTTAACTGAATTGGAAGAAAGAGCTGGTGTGAGACAAAATCAGGCCAAAAAATTGCAACAACAATAATAATAATAATAATAATAATAATAATAATAACAAATTAGATACAATTTTCTGCCATTGGACACCCTTGAGCAAACATTGGTCTATGGTAGAAATTGAAGAGCAATTTTATTTAACACTGCTTACTTTGCAGCAACTGTGTATGTATAGTATATAAAGTGCTTTAGTTTAGCCATGTGAAAAGGGTTAGGACATTCTTTGGAATTCCAATTTTCCATATCAGGTTATTAAAATCTAATTTTGGCAGGTCGAAAAATAAATGCTCAGATGAACAACAACATGTAATGTTAACAAAAATTAGTCTGAACTGATCATCAGCAGAATTTTTGTTGGTCTAGAGCCTTCAGGTGTGTGTTAACACCATGCCTGTCCAACAGCTAAAGCTCAACCAAAATTGGATCATGCAACAAGACATTAATCCAACACAAAGCAGCAAATCTACAACAGAAAAAATCACAGTATTGCAATAGTTCAGTCGAAGTCCAGAGCTCATCCTAAATGAAATGCTGTGCAGAAACTCAAGAACTCCTCCAGAATGGTCTAAAAGATGTGAAAATACAGGCATCCAAATCATAGGCTGTCCTAAATTTGTCACCCATGGCTTTTCTATCTTGGCTTTATTTTTGTTAAACAAATAACGAGACTATGTGAGGTGTTGTGTGATGTTGTTCATCTGAGGTTTATCTACCAAATATTAATACTTTCCAAGGATGGTATTGTTTTTTTATTATGTCCTGATATGGAAAACCATGAAAATCTATAGGGTGTTTAAAGTTTTTACATATCTGTAAAAAAAAGTTTAACATGAGTTGACTGGACTTAACCGATAAACAAAGAACATAAAACCTCCCCGTGATTATATTAGCATTTGATCTGATGTAACTCCTTTATTTTAGAAGCTTAATTAGTAATGTAAATATTAACATTAAAGCATTAGCAAAAATAATCAATTTGTTTATTTATAATTATTGTAAAAAGAAAAGACTTTTGCAATTTTTTGTCATGTTTGCAAACTATTTTCCTGTGTATATTCCTGTGATGCAAAGCTGAATTTTAAGTCTTGAGCATCAGTTCTCAGCAAGCATTGTTTTTAAAAGATGTCTAATTGATAAAAACATAGTCGTCTTGGCTAAAACAAGGCTAAATTTGGGCTGTTGGTAAATATCTAATAGACGTCTAAGAATAAGCCAAAACTAGACTAGTCATCAAATAAACAGAAATGAATGACTACACATATAAAGTCTGTCTAATCTGTCTATTTGATGACTAGTCTAGTTTTGGGCTATTCTTGGATGTCTATTAAATTTTCACTGACAGCCCAAGTTTAGCCTTGTTTTAGCCAAGCTGTCTACTGTACATTTAGATGTCTATTAGACGTCTATTAAACAGAATTTTTTTTTGCTGGGTTTAGTCTTGAATATCACATGATCTTTCAGAACTCACTCTTACATACTCGTTTGCACTCAAAAAAGATGGTTGATGTTGAAAACAGCTCTGCTATGAAGGATTTTGTGAAATCTATGGTAACATTATTGTTACAGATCTATTGTCAAACAGAAAGTTATTTGAAAAAGAAATTATTTCTAACTATGTAAAAGTTATATAGAATACAGACATGTAATACAAAATATAAAAAACTACTATTAAGTTAAGTAATAATAATAATATTAATATTATGAATACTGATTTATTATTAGTCTTGTAATGAAAAGAGTTACTTTTTTTCAGAGGCTTTTAAAGGCCATTCTCTTGTTCTGCTTTGTGTAGTCTCAGGTGATCTTCCTGCCGTGTGGCCATGTATGCTGTTGTCAGACCTGTAGTGATGCCCTGCAGTCGTGCCCTCTGTGCCGTGGCTCTATATCTCAGCGTGTCCGTATTTACCATGGCTGAAGCCGGTGAGCGCCCACCAAATCCTCCAATGCTCACAATCATACCTCACGTGTCGGTGTTTTTCCTTGTCCCCATTCACTGCATGAAACGCATAGTCTGTGAACGTTCAAGCACTTTAGAAGTTAATGGATTTTCTCTTCCACTCCTGCTAGAATTAGCCAATCAGAGAAGCATCTATAACAGACGTTTGTCACATTCTAATAAACTAACAGCAACTAGGTATTTATAAACAACTTATCTAACTAAAACCTAATAGTAGATGATATACTAACATAAGAGCTTTGTGCTCGCCCTTATTGTACATCCTCCAAGCACTTGTGCCTTTTTCGGTATTTAATGTCTCTTATTTATTAATTTAGACTCTTTTAACTATAAATAATTCTGCATGTCGTCCATTGTAAAGCCTAGTCTTGACCTCCATTATTCTAGCATCATTGTAGTACAAGAGGGCCAAATTTTCCAGCATTAGGAGCTGTTGACACCGAGAGTGAAAAGTTCTAATTGTATTAAAATAGAGATGTTGCAGTACTGTTATAACAATAATGATAGAGAGGAACAATTGTTATTAGAACAATTATCTCCAGCTGATAAACTACCAAAGCATTGACAGATACACAATGTAAAAAGCTTGAGTATTTAAAGCAGGGGTCTCAAACTCAATTTACCTGGGGGCCGCAGGAGGCAAAGTCTGGGTGAGGCTGGGCCGCATAAGGGATTTCACAAAAAAAAAGTCCTCAAATGTCATTATTAACAGTTTTAATTATTTCCTCTGAACATGAAGTGTCCTGAACATTAATAGAACATTGAGTGAAGATTATGAACAGTTCTTCTGAACATGGCATCTTTTGCCTACTTCTTGCTGCCAGAGACTTGACAGCGCTTCTTCTCACAAATCTGAACCACATTTGGCTTTAGAGCGGAAGCAGTTGAGACCCTCAGTATGGCTTGAAGATGTTCATCATTAAGTCTAGACCTGTACTTTGACTTATTGAAGTCCTAGGGAAAAAGTGGGGGAACTCACTCAAAACTTCCATTCCCTCACCTAAAAAAAAGGCGTATATATGTATAAATAAAACACCCCCACCCCACTCCAGTCACATCAGTCTGTACCAGTCTGTATCTACCTATAATATCAACAGGGCAGGCACGTGCACACATAGGGCTCAACCTGTGCAGAGCACATGCCCTTTTTAGTCTTGCAAAGAAAGTGCCCTTCCAAAATGATCAAAAGTGCCGCCGCAACGCGACACACCCTCGGTCCCGCCCTTCAGTAGGCGCGCGATAACACCGCTCTTGAGTACGCGCGCGACAACACAGCTGATCAGAATGCGCGCGACAACGCGCATTGAGTGACAAGCGCGCTGTGTACGGATAGAATCAGCGGAGCGGGGAGCGCTCTCTCTCCCCACTCCGCTGATTCTGTCAGAGTACAGCGGTCGGCGCGGGCCACAAAATATTGCACTGAGGGCCGCAAATGGCCCGCGGGCCGCGAGTTTGAGACCCCTGATTTAAAGGGACAGGACAAAATTGCTTGTCTTTCTACTTATCATTCTTGGTGTAATCTGGTCTTTAACTTAGAGTTCAGAATATTTTAATGCTTCAATCATTGTGTTTAGTATAAAATGAAATCAAAATACTGTAAGATTTACAGAATAGGGCCTTATAAAAACAAATACATTAAAAGGATTTAAACTGACTTGTCAGAATGGGAAATAATAGGCTGACTATTAAATTTTTCTGAATGCACTGTACATTATGGAAACTTGTTTCCACCATGAAAAAAAACATGACTTTGACTGTTTTGTTATCCTCAATCTAGACTTGTTAGAATTAAAAGTGAATAAATATTACAGTATAAGTTGTATGTTCTGAGGAAAAACATTAGAATTTAGAGAATTTTGAGTTGAAATTGATCTTGGTTGTATACCCGGACTCTTAAAAAAGGTCAGATGTTATTATCCTGTGTATTGTTACCAAAAGTATCGATTTTGATACAAATCGGCACTAAAATGATAAAAACATCAATTGCCCCCTAACATTTAAGCACTGTTGATGAGTACATTCTTAAACACAGCTGATTGGCCATTGAGGTCATATGCTCTATAAAAATTCTCTAGTGTGTGTATCTGTGGCTGCGTCTGAAGTCATCTACCACTAAGTAGGTACTAGATTTGAATGAACCACTCAACCATTAGAAAAGTACACTCTATATAGTATGAATGTGGGTAGTATGAATAGAACTTAGTTATTCTACATCCGCCATTTTGTCATGATCACGTGATTTTGCATCGCTTCACTCCTATTCATGAATTCTCTTGCGAAGCATTATGGGACAGTGTAGCATTCATCGGATGTGCACTTCTTGTAGAGGTAGTAGGTAATCTGGGTACTTCTCGCATACTGCTTTTAGAATTCTATGAATTTGTACATACTATTTGGCTTGCGTACTGATTTTTGCGTACTATATAGTATGGAATTATGCGATTTCGGGCGCAGCAGTAGAGTGTGGTAAACCGATGACCTTCACGGCCATTCATTCATTTTCTTTTCGGCTTAGTCCCTTTATTAACCTGGTGTCGCCACAGCAAAATGAACCGCCAACTTATCCAGCATATGTTTTATGCAGCGGATGCCCTTCCAGCCACAACCCATCACTACGGTCAGTTTTAGCATATTCAATTCACTGCATGTCTTTGTGGGTTAAACCAGAGCAACCGGAGGACACCTACGTGAACACGGGGAGAACATGCAAACTCCACACAGAAATGCCAACTGATCCAGCCGGGACTCGAACCAGCAAACTTCTTGCTGTGAGGCGATCCTGCTACCACTGCACTACCACCGCCTTCATGGTCAATCACAGTTAAATCTGATAAGCATGTGAACACGATGGCCAATAAGTGGTGTTTAAGAACGCACTCACATGTTAGTGTCAAATGTATGTTTTTAAAATTAGCAAAAAGAAACGATTGGTACAGAACTCAATACTTATGACAAAGCTAATAATGCTAATCATGTGACTTTATTAATGCAACAAAAACATTCAACATAATTAAAATGCTGCCGGTCCTAAAATACACACGTCCATCTATGAAGCAGTCTTCATTCAAGTGCTCTTATATGCAAATCTGCTTAGAAAACAAGAACTTAATCTTCTGTATATAAATGTGACATTATGTAATTTCATATTGATTCATATTACAGGAAATGGTCTTAAAGTGTTATTCAGCATGATCAATTATATTACACATTTTTAATCAATGTGTGTGTGTGTGTGATACAGTTATGTTGTATAAACTGAACTGGACAAATAGGCTACATCTTTTACTTGCTGTGCAACTCAGCATTTAAGACAAAAATATGAAAACTAGAATATTTAGTAGAATGTGCAATGAGTACATGATAGTGTACCTAAAAACAACTCTGTTAAACTGTAGTGGTGATAGTAGTAATAGGAGTTCTGTGGTATAAACTACCCTCTTATGGCAGCTTGTTATTAGTACTCACTTCAGTTCTCCTGCTTTTAGTTTATTTTCTATGGACTGACAAAATGTATGGTCGTTTCATACAAATGCACCTTATCTGTGATGGCCAAACGGAATCTCAATGTTACATTCATTTACCATAAAAGCGCGGCAGTTAAAAGTTTTCCATTGTTGGTTTAGGATTCATAATATGACATTTTATTGTTTAGCTTTTATAACTGTACACAAGCAATGGATCCACTGAAATGCTGCCTGTTTGTTTTTAAGGTTGTGAGTTTCAAGCTTGTCGAACTTCTGAAAAATAAAACTTCAAAAAAGACCATTCATTTTAGTGTCCTCATATTTAAGTGGTCTAATTTTTTTCGTTTTCATACTGCACGTGACTGTTCATATTCATTAATCTCTGTAAAAAATAGCATAATAGATAAAAAACTGTCATTTTGATCAGTTATAACTAGAGTTGTAACAATTCACCTTAAGCTGGTTTAAAATGGATTAAAATATGTGGCAATTCAAACTGGTAGAAATGTTGAACGAGTCGCAATACATGTTTTGAACAGAAGGAGCGCTGTGTTTAGAGGCACTTCACCTCAGTGTTGCCAATTTAGCAATTTTGTTGCTAGATGTAGCAACTTGTCATACTACCCTAGCAACTTTTTTATTTTCAATAAGCACCTAGCAACAAATTTAGCAACTTTTAACATTCACTTTTAAACTACTTTTAGCAGTTTTTAAAAAGTGACTCAAAAGATGCAATGACATCATCACGCAAAGTAATATGTTATCAAGAACCTATTTATTGTGCATCTGGATGTAATTTTTTATAATATTATATAATACACGGCGCCTCAGAGAATAGAGACATGACGGGCTTACGCTTGTCTTATACTACGTGATGATGTCACTGATATGCAAAAAAGTGAGTGACGTCATCTGGCAACATTTAGCTACTTTTCGGGCAGGTTTTAGCTACTTTTCATTGGAAATAGTTGGCAACACTGCTTTACCTGCACATCAGAAGTGAACAAATGGTGGGGCGGCAGAGTAAAAAGACATCGGTGAAGTGCTACAGAGACACAAACTCTGTTTAAATACTGGGAAAAGATGTTTACTTATACTAACAGAACAACGAATATGATGCACATAAACAATCAGCACAGTAAAAAACATCTGTCACAGACATCTATATGCTAAATTCAAATGACTTGCAGCTCCGCTTGCTTCGACAAGTGCTATGAAGATCACACAGTGCATCAGTGTTTTCATAGCGAATTATGAAGATGCTTTTCAGACAAAGAGATATTTGTTCTGTAACAGAAGCATGTATTAGATTAGTTTTAACCTCTCCTTTTCAAATTAGTTTATGCATATTTTATTCATTTGCCTATTATTGGATATTTAAAAATGTTCAAGATTATCTCTTCTTAAGTGTCTTTATCCTATTCTATAATTAGTAACACTTTACAATTGGATTTCATTATAATTATGATAATAGTATGATAATATTAGTTTATT